GGCCGGGGTGGGATTACGATTCTGGACCTTCTCCAGTATTCCTCTCAGCCCCTGTCTCGGTGAATGTGTGCGCAGGGAGCGCCACACCACTGCATTCCCCTAACTGTGGGGTTTCACGCCTTTACTGGCTTGGTGTTTAGAATAAAGCCTATTTTTTGTTTGAACTGCATTTGAGTCCTCTGTTCCTTTTCCTGACAGAACATACCCACCAGTCATGGACTCAGCTGAAGATACGGAGGTCCGCCGAGCACTCGTTCAGCAAGGCATCCTCCTGGGACGTCAACAGGAGGAGATAACTGCATCTCATCAGGCCATGACTAACATGTCACAACAGATCGCCGCAATCTCCCAGCGCCTCGATCAGGTTCAGGTCAGCCCACAGGCGGGTCGCACGGCTGCTGCAGAGGAAGAGGCACCCGCGTCACGCCGGTCCGAGCCCCGCCTTAATCCTCCGGCTCCGTACGCGGGTGAGCCCACTTCATGCCGTTCCTTCTTATCACAATGGTCCCTGACCTTTCCACTACAGCCTTCCTGCTTCCCTACTGAGAATTCCAGGGTCGCCTTTGTGATAATGCATCTGGCTGGGAGGGCTAGAGAATGGGGAACGGCTATGTGGGACAAAGGGAGCGAATGCTGCAGTTCCTACACTCGTTTTTCCCAGGAGCTACGGAAGGTCTTTGACCGGTCGGCTCTGGGTAACGAAGCGGCACGGGCACTCTCTCTGCTGCGTCAAGGAACCAGGCCAGTACCGGATTATGCCATCGAGTTCCGCACACTCGCCTCATCTTGCGGCTGGAACGACAAGGCATTGTGGGACCATTTCCTCCACGGACTGGCGGAGGGCATCAAGGATGAGATATACTCCCTGGAGCTCCCCACCACACTCGATGGGCTGGTTGAACTGGCCACTCGGGTCGATTTCCGCCAGGCACTTAGAGCTCAACACCACCGCATGGAGACCAGGCACGAGAGCTCGGTTAGTTCACCTGGCGCTAGGAGCACCACGCCGCCACTACTCAGGCTCTCCGAGGAGGAACCGATGCAGATCGGCCGCGCTCACCTCACAGCCCGGGAACGCCGCCATCGGATTGCCAACGCGTTGTGTCTCTACTGTGGGGGGGCAGGGCATGTCGTCACAGTCTGCCCTCACAGGAAGCAATCCCCCTCTGGAGAGTGGTCGCGCAGGGTAAGCGTGACCACGGCTTTGCTGCCCTCTGGTGGCCGCACGACTTTCCAGGCCGTTCTTCAGTCAGGGGGGGTGAACCACCCGGTTGTAGTTCTTATTGACTCTGGAGCGGAGGGGGACTTTATGGATGCCGATTTGGCCAGGAGCTGGAGGGTTAGAAATTAAAGGGCCGCTTTGTGTCAGCCCCTATCCTTATGAATCCAGACCCGTCTCGCCAATTCGTAGTGGCTTCAGAATAAAGCCTATTTTTTGTTTGAACTGCATTTGAGTCCTCCGTTCCTTTTCCTGACACTGCCAACACACATTTCAGTTCAAACAACTTGTAAAAGTGCATGTAGCATCCGATGACCCCTTTAACCAGCTTCATCCTAGTGAAAAATAAATTTACTAAAATGGATTTGAAATACATTTATTTAATGCCAAGTATACTACAAAAACATTTACATATTTATGTACTTAATAAAAATACCCTGCAATTGCACTTTTGGTATATTAAACTTTTTTTGTACAACTAACAATTCATTTTGTACTTTTTAATTGCATTTTAATTGTGCGGAAGTAGTGACGAGTATATTTGATACACTTTACACTTTAAATACACTTTAAATATATTGCATTTAAAGACCGATATTATTCAAAGATCATACAGACCTCATCTATATAGTGACATTAAAACACATTTTAGACTTAATATTAAGAAATGTGCATTGTGCACAAGTAGTACTCCAAAAAAGTTTAATTATGATTTTTCTATCAGTAAGTCTCGAGTGATATGTTAGTAAATATGTTAATAGATTTGAACTATACTTTGTATGAAATAAATGTATTTTAAATATATTAATTTTGTACAAGGGAAGTGTAGCTACTTTTTGTTAGTAGCTTCTAGTCCAGATAAATACTTTTTAAAAGAGTACATTAACTACTTTAAACTATAAGTCACAGTTCAAAGTAGCTTTCCCAGCACTGGTGTTTGCATTACCTGAATATCATTGTGTGGGTTCCAGTCAGAGTCATATATGATCACAGTGTCTGCAGTTGCCAGATTAATACCCAATCCTCCAGCACGTGTAGACAGCAGAAAACAGAACTGCTGAGCCCCGGGTGCTGCACACAGGGTGACAGACAGTCAATATGAATGCCTTAGTATCCACTATCCCCCCCCCCCACACACACAGACATCACTGCTGGCATCCTCACCGTTAAAGCGATCGATGGCCTCCTGTCGCAGCCCCCCTGTGATGCCCCCATCAATACGCTCGTATTTATACCCCTCAAACTCCAGGAAGTCCTCTAGCAGATCTAGCATCTTTGTCATCTGAGAGAGGGATCAACAGTGCAGGATAAGACACAAACAGGAGGATAACAGAGATATCCAACAAAAGGACAAATGGCAGCGTTAAGCAAAATGTTAAGCAAACTCAGCTCATACTTAATTCCATCTATGCAAAATACAACAACAAGAGGGGACAGAAACACAACCCTCCTCTTTAATCAAGCTTAAAGGACATACAACATGCCATGACATTAATATGTATGTTTATTTTCAAGCACTTGGGGAAAAAAAGGGTGGCAAAATGTCTTGTCGAGACACCCTCCCTTTACCAGTGCCATTCATCAAATTAATGGATGCAGAGATTCCACAGGCAATTTAAAATGGGAGGGAAAAGAGTCCGAGGACTAAAAAATAAAGCGGAGATAAATATAGGCCCCGCCTTTTCATTTGTCAACTCCATTTAAAAGATGAATGAGCTCCGCTCTTATTTTCTATTCACAGTTTACCATCTAATTAATCTTCCACTGAAATAAAGGCAAGACCGCCACATATTTAAGGTTTTTTTTTATTCACAGGGTATTCTAAGCACTAAAAGAGGAAATAAGTACCATGCACTATACCTGAGAGAAGATGAGAACCCTGTGCCCTTCATCTTTCAGTTTTTTGAGCATCTTCTGAAGCAGGGTGAGTTTTCCTGAGGATTTCACCAGGAGGTTGCCATCATAAGAACCATTGGGTAAGACTGGAGCTTCCTGCATACATAAAAATGAAAACATACAAAAGACTTGACAAATGTTAATTAAATATTCAAGTTATTTTATAGACTATAGCAGGGTTCCTCAAATCTTGCCCTGGAGGGCCAATGCGCTGCAGAGTTTGGCTCCAACCCTGATCAAACTCACCTACCTGTGATTTTCTAATGATCCTGAAGACATTGATTAGCATGCTCAGGTGTGTTTGATTAGGGTTAGAGCTAAACTCTGCAGGAAAGTGGATCTCGTGGGCCAGATTTGAGGATCCCTGGACTATAGTATAAACCGTTCAAAAGTTTGGGGTTTTACAATTATTTTTATGATACTCACCAAGGCTGCATTTATTTGATCAAAAATACAGGACAGTAACTCACTCACATTGTGAAATATTAATAAAATTCAAAATTACAGTTTTCTCTTTCAATTATTTTTTTTAAAATATAATTTCTGTGATGAATTTTCACCAGTCATTACTCCAGTCTTCAGTGTCACATGATCCATCAGAAATCATTCTAATATGCTTATCTGGTGCTCATTAATCATTTATTTTTTATCAATGTGTAAAATAGCTGTGATGCTTTATATTTTTGTGGAAAAACATTTCAGGATTCTTTGATGAACAGAATTTATTTGAAAGAGAAATCTTTTGTAACTGTCACTTTTCATCAGTATAATAAAAGTATTCATTTTTAAAAATGTTAAGGATCCCAAACTTTTGAATGGTAGTTTACTTCCAATTTTATGTTTTGTTACAAGACACCATCTGCAGCAACCGTTAAAACATCTCAGAAAACAAGAAGGGTGCTCGGCACCAAAACGCTAGCATGATATTGCTATGCAATTGTTAAGGTGGTCTGTCTTTTAGCTCAGTAGAATATGGTTGCTTGAGTGTTTTGGGTTCAAGTCAAAAGACCTCAGTGTCTATGATATTCTGGTTCCAAGATATGGCTTAGGTCCCTCCAGTGTAAGTATGAGATTGTTTTATTATCCACCAAGTGAAGTCTATTAATGCAGGAAAGCACATCTCTTTAAGCCACTTCATTTGGGGTAACATTCACATCTATAATTTTGAAAAACCCTTAACTTCAAGTATAAGCAACAGCAAAAGTGGTGCCTGCCTTAGCAAACATTATTAATAGTCAGCAGGCAAAGTGTCTAAGAGTAAACAACTTCAAAATCACATAACTTTTTTTTGTCCTTGAACATGAGAATGTAAGATAAGGCCGGTATTATGCATCAAATTCACTGCAGACATAAGAAACAATACACTCTCTTACAAAAGTCTTTAAATAGATCTTATAAAACAGAAAATGTATTGCCATTCCATGTGCTAACAACAAACCACTGCAGTGATATAAACTGTGGGCCTCCATATGTTCTCCTCCCCTCCCCTCCTCACCATTGCAGCCACTGGAAACAGGTAGGGATGGTTGCAGCATTTCTTCAAGTCCATCATGATGTTAAGAAGAGACACCTGGTTCCCTCCTCCCTTGGAATTCAATGCCTCAAAGTTCCGTGTTAAAATGAACTTGTAGTATTTCCTGTGAGAGAGAAAAAAACATGAAATTATCTTGCATGGGAAACAATGAAATATGATACTGAGTGATAATAAATTGATGTTTATTCAATAATTTAGCATTAGGAACAGAGAATTTAAGACTGACTTCTGCATTGGGCTGAGCTCTACTCGCACTATAAGCTCAGTTTTTGACGGCATGTTTTTAAACACATCTGCCTTCAGTCTCCTGAGCATGTGTGGCCCCAGCAGGTCGTGTAGTTTCTTAATCTGGTCCTCTTTCGAGATGTCCGCAAACTCCTCCAGAAAGCCCTCCAGGTTACTGCGCACAACAACATTTTCATTTGGATATAAGGGGAGATAGAATTCACTTCCATCAAATCATATGAAAAACATGTTCCAATCTAAGCCCCGTAATCGCTCTGCGGGGGATCATTATTCTACGAGCGGGTCTACAGTATGAATCACCAGGTGAATCATGCAGTCTGCAATCTTACTTGAAGCGCTCTGGGGTGAGAAAGTTGAGCAGGTGAAAAAGCTCTTCGAGATTGTTCTGCAAAGGGGTTCCTGTCAGGAGCAGCTTATAGTAGATTTTGTAGCCATTCAGAATTCTGAAAAACTGAGCATTGATTTATTGATTATAATCCATCAAGTAACCATGACTTATCTTGAACAATGTACCTCAAAGAAAACATTATATATATATATATATATATATATATATATATATGACCCTGGACCACAAAAACAGTCATAAGGATGAATTGTTTTTAATTGAGATTTATACATAATCTGAATAAATAAATAAAGCTTTCCATTGATGTATGGTTTGTTAGGATAGGACAATATTTGGCTGAGATACAATTATTATAAATCTGGCAAAATATTGAGAAAATCGCCTTTAAAGTTTTCCAAATGAAGTTCTTAGCAATGCATATTACTAATCAAAAATTTAGTTTTGATATATTTTCGGTAGGAAATTTACAAAATATCTTCATGGATCTTTACTTAATATCCTAGTGATTTTTGGTCAATGTATTGTTGGCTTTTGCTACATACACATATATATATACTGTATATATATATATATATATATAGTGTATATTATAACTTCATAATTGTTATTTATATGATGATGTCATAAATCTTTCCTTAAATTCTGTACCTTTGACTGGTTATTCTTCAGTCGGTGGGCTTCATCCACAACCAAACAGGCCCAGGTAATGGAGCCTAGTATTGCCTGATCAATGGTGATCAGTTCATATGACGTCAGCAGGACATGAAACTTTATCGGTGCATCCTTCTGTGATGAGAAACTCTGATCAGAAACAATGAACCTCTGAATGAAACCTTTCAAAAATTAGGATGCTTTTTAAATTGTTTGGATGCTGAAATATGTAATCAGGTATATGTTAAAGAATGACATAAATCAGCTTTGGTTTTGGTGCAAAATACTGTTTTGAATGGGACACGGAATAAGGCATCAAAATGTCTATCAGGTTAGTCCACAGCACTCTCTCACCTTCATGCGGAAAACCTTGCGACCTGATTTGACGGTGCTGTCCTCGAAGGTAAATTCATTCTCACGTATGACAGCCCTGCTGTCTTTGTCCCCTATGTAAGTCACAACGTAGAAATTCGGAGCCCACATCTCAAACTCTCTCTCCCAGTTGATGATGGTGGAGAGTGGCGCACTGACCAGAAACGGCCCTTTGGAGTGACCCTGAAACAAGCAACTCAGTTACACTCTGTTCCCTTCTTCTCTCAAATGCATTTGAAAAAAAGTTCAATTGGCGCCCAGACCTCTTTGTAGAGTGAGTACAGGAACACTATAGTCTGCACAGTCTTGCCAAGCCCCATTTCATCAGCCAAGATTGTGTCGGTTCCTTGGGCCCAAGAGAATCGCAACCAGTTCAGGCCTTCCAGTTGGTATGGGTGCAAAGTTCCCCCTGTGTCATCAATGTACCATGGCTGCTGTTCAAACTTGATGGTAGGCTGTGACCAATGACACATAAATAGGAGAGAATGATAAATGAAAAAATAACTGAAAAAGTGCCAAATCATAAAGCAAAATAAATTCAGCCATATATTCATTAAGCAAAATAGCAATTGCACTCACATCCACAACTGGAGTGTCTGGTGGAGGTTCTCTCCTCTTTCCTTCCTCTTTGAGTCTCTTTCCCTTTCTGAACAGCAGGGGGTGATGGCTTTCACCGAGCACATGATCCCTGGTCAAATCAGAGTGAGTGTATAGCACTTTTCACACACTTTATGTCCCATTTCTTCATTATAGGCACAAATCTTTTTTTCTTTCACAAATATTTTCTTTTACTTTGAGAACTATCAGGA